AACAGGCCTAGGTGGTCCAAGTTTAATAGGAGGACTACCTAGGCTTATTTAGTCCTCTTCTTCAGTCAATAAACTGGATAGAGTACCATGGGACCAGTTCCAGGGCTTTTTCTCCAGTTTCTTGACTGGAGAAAAAGACCACCTAAGCCTAGGTGGTCTATCTAATAAAGTTTGACCACCTAGTCTTAGGCCTTCAAGGCTGTTGTCTATATACCACCTAAGCCTGGGTGGTCAAATTTGATTACATGGACCACCCAGGCTGAGGTGGTCCTCTAGTGTTCATGTTTGTCATTGTGTCCTTTGATTGTGTTGCCTTTAATGAATTTTGTAATGGCAATATCAGTCATTGATATTGACTATGTGTACCATTGACTATGTGTACCATTGAGCCAAATCCCAGTCCACAACCGGTCACATGACCTTTTGTGTTTTGTTGTTTTTTACGTTTGTGAATTTTGACATGTTGAAAATTTGATTTCTTGAAATTTTCGTGTATTATTTGTGCCAAAGTGCCAAGTCAATGGTTGTAATTTGAGTTGCGGTTTGCAAACAGGAGAAACTGGCAGAAAGTTTGGTTTTATCCCCAATACAGGGGGTTTCAGACCGGTATTTGAGTTAAATCTGATGTTTAATCCAGTTTTGTCAATTTCTGACCCGGGGATTCGGAAATTTCCAATTTTGAAATTCTATTTGTCACTTTGACACACCTCGCATTCCGTAGTTATGGCTTGGCAGTACGTTGACTGAGAAACACTTCAAGCTGTGTTTCAATCTTAATACTATTTCAACCCAGTACTATGGTTGGAACGACGGTGAGTATTCTAGGAATCTGATTGATCTGTCTGCTGAGGCACAAAATCCATCAACAGCGGAAACATTGTATCGGTGAGGTGATATCCAGAAATGAGTAAGGTTCGGTAAAGCGCCAGTGTTTAAATCTAAGCTTTCTAAATCACACACTCTAAGTGATAGTGACTGTAAAGACGGTGTGTCGTTTAAAACAGAGATTACAGAATCATGATCATTCCGAATGTACCCTACGCGCGCTCCTTCGATGATCAAGGTCTTCAATTTTTTGATTTGCTTCATTGCGGTTAACAACGGGCTTGAGAATCCAACTGAGCGTTTAAAATTCAATCTGAGTTCTTCAAGATTTCTACCACATAAGCTGATGATCTCACTTGCATTGTGCATGAGGATGCAACTCGATTCGTGGCCGAAGTGCTCGTATTCGTATTGACGGCTACATTCGTCAGATAGATCCCAAATCTTGTTTTTCTGATCTTTGAGAGGCAGATAAATAAGTTGTTGTAGTGAAAGTCGACGTAAGTTAGAAAAATGCGAAAACCTCATGCTCCCTTCCCAAACTCTCATCACGTAACGGTTGATCCATGGGGTTCTTACAAACAAGGAGCGATAAATAAAAGGTGGAACAGCATTGGCCCAAGTTCTAGATAATAAGCGTAATCTGAGCAAGTAAACGATGGATTGATGCTCGAGGAATGGTTGGTCTGCGCTATTAGATTCATCGGTTGGTGTTGTAGCCAGTGCTTTGCCGAGATGATGGACAATGCATTCTATAACTTCTAGTGGGATAGTAATACTGTGGGACATTGTTCTACCCTACGACTCTGACTGTGAATCACTCAGCAGAAACAACTATGAATTGGCCTTTGGTAATCTCTTGAAGCTCACTATCCAGTGTATATTATACAATATTATCGCTCAGTGTGCTGTTCACTATAATCCAATCTCTTTGATTTAAAGGAGGTTTCATGCTCAATTTTTCACATTTTGTGGATTAATAAATAAAGTACCATCACCCGACTACACACAAAGCAGCCGATGCTGTAATTCCAAGCTAACCGATATCGATCTGGGTCGCAGATCAAATCATTGACCTACAAAGATGGTTTCCTCATGAAATGATGCGTTCGAAAAGGATTGTGCTCGGCAATTGTGTTATCTTTTGATGATCCAATCCTGCCCCAATCAACCGAGAACTGCCTACAAAGAAGACGCCATACCATCAAATTATAAGTAGAGCCTTACCTTGATTGTAAATATGTTTGCTTTGATGTATCAGCCATAACTGGCACGCTTTCATCAAATCGTCAGTCACAAGCTATTCAAAAGGACGCTCTGCAGGTTTTGAACTACTCACAAATTCGAATTAGAGTATCATTGATTTTTGATGTGAATTCCGCAATGTCTTTCATGAGAACATGTTTATTATGTATTTATAAACCCATGAATAAAAGTTATTATACTTGTCACCCTCAGTATATGTATGACTTCGATAGGTCTTCACGTGGTTCGACATACTGTCGAATATAGATTACCGTCGAACATATGGTATCAGTTTGAGACCGTCGCTCAATACCTAATGAGCTGATGAGACTTCATACGTAAATTTAATAGTCGGTCATATTTTTGAAATAATCAGGGCAAACACCAAATTGCTCGGATTAATGTCGAGTAGATACAATCGGTGTTGAAAAAGATGATTGGGATTTGGACTTTGCCAAGAGAAACTTGTACCAGACTGAAACTCCCCATGAACGCATGACTCAATTTTACACAATCACAGTTTTCAGATGGAAATACATGTGGCAATCATCTACTTGAAAGATATAGATCTGAGCCGGATTAATTGATATCGT